TGTCAGTCCATCTTGTTGAGGGTCTTCCTCTCTATCGCTGACCCCCTACTTTACCAAGTATGATGTCCATCTCCAGGGACTGGTCCCTCCTGATAACGTCCAAAATTCATGAGACGAAGTCTTACTAGCCTCACTTCTAAAGTGCATTCTGGCTGTATTTCTTCCAAGATAGATGTGTTCCTTCTTCTGGAAGTCCATGGTGTATTCAGTATTCTTTGCCAACACCGTAATTCAAATGTATCAATTCTTCTTCGATCTTCTGTATTAATTGTCCAGCTTTTACATGCACGAGGCGACTGAAAATACCATGGCTGGGGCAGGCACACTTTACTCAGCAAAGTGACATCTTTGCTTTGTTAACACTTTAAAGAGGTCCTCTATAGCAGATTTGCTCAGTGTGTTACATCATTTCATTTCTTTACTGCTGCTTCCATGGGCGTTGAATGTAGATCCGAGTAAAATGAAATCCTTGGCATCTTTTTTCCTTGACAATATTTTTTCCATTTATTATGATATTGTTTATTGGTCTAGTTGTGAAGATTTTTGTTTTCTTTATATTGAGGGGTAATTCATACTGAAGGCCCTCTTTGATCTTCATCAGTAAGTGCTTCAAGTCGTCTTTGCTTTCAGCCAGCAAGGTTGAGTCTTTCTCCAATCCTGATGCTGTATTATTCTTCATATAGTCCAGCTTCTCGGATTATTTGCTCAGCATACAGATTGAATAAGTATGGTGGAAGGATACAACCCTGACATACACCTTTCCTGATTTTAAACCACGCAGTATCCCCTTGTTCTGTTTGAACGACTGCCTCTTGGTCTATGTACAGGTTTCTCATGAGCACAATTTAGTGTCCTGGAATTCTCATTTTTTGCAGTGTTATCCATAATTTCTTATGATCCACACAGTTGAATGCCTTTATATAGTCAATAAAACACAAGTAAATATCTTTCTGGTATCCTCTGCTTTCAGCCAAGATCCATCTGACATCAGCAGTGATATCCCTGGTTCCACATCCTCTTCTGAAACCAGCTTGAATTTCTGGCAGTTCCTTGTCCATGTACTGCGGCAGCCATATTTGAATTATCTTTAGCAAAATTTTACTTTTGTGTGATGTTAATGATATTGTTCTGTAATTTCTGCATTCCATTGGATCATCTTTCTTTGGAATGGGCGCATATATGGATCTCTTCCAGTTGGATGGCCAGGTAGCTGCCTTCCACATTTCTTGGCATAAATGAATGAACACTTTCAATGTTCTATCTGTTGAAACATCTCAATTGGTATTCCATCAATTCCTGGAGCCTTGTATGTCGCCAATGCCTACAGTGCAGCTTGGATTTCTCACGTCAGTACCACCAGTTTTTGATCATATGCTGCGTCCTAAAATGATTGAACATTGACCTGTTCTTTTTGGTACAGTGATTTTGTGTATTCCTTCCATCTTCTTTTGATGCTTCTTGCGTCATTCAATATTTTGCCTGTAGAATCCTTCAGTATTGCAGCTTGAGGCTTGAATGTTTTCTTCAGCTCTTTCAGCTTGAGAAATGCCAAGTGTGTTCTTCCCTTTTGGTTTTCTAACTCCAGGTCTTTGCACGTTTCATTATAGTGCTTTACTTTGTCTTCTTGAGCCCCCCTTTGGAATTTTCTTTTTAACCTTTTACTTCATCACTTCTTCAGTTCACTTTAGCTACTCTGTGTTCAAGAGCAAGTTTCATAGTCTCTTCTGACATCCATTTTGGTCTTTTCTTTCTTTCCTGTCTTTTTAATGACCTTTTGCTTTCTTCATGTATGATGTCCTCTCACACAGCTCGTCTGGTCTTCAGTCATTAGTGTTCAGTGCATCATATCTATTCTCGAGATGGTCTCTAAATTCAGGTAGTATATACTCAAGGTCGTAGTTTGGCTCTCTTGGACTTTCTTTAATTTTCTTCAGCTTCAGCTTGAATTTGCATTTGAGCAATTGATGGTCTGTTCTGCAATAGGCTCCTGGTCTTGTTCTGACTGATGATGTTAGGCTTCTCCATCATCTCTTTTCACAGATATAGTCGATTTGATTCCTGTGTATTTCATCTGGTGAGGTCCATGTGTATAGCTACCATTTATGTTGTTAAAAAAAGATATTTGCAATGAAAAGGTCATTGGTCTTGCAGAATTCTATGATGCATCTCCGGCATCGTTTCTATCACCAAGGCCATGTTTTCCAAATACTGAGTCTTCTTCTTTGTTTCCAACTTGCATATTCCAATCACCAGTAATTATTGATGCATCTTGAGTACATGTTTGATCAATTTCAGACTGTAGAAGTTGGTAAAAATCTTATATTTCTTCATTTTTCGCAGGAGTGGTTGGTATATAAATTTGAATAAAGTCATTTTAACTCGTCTTTCTTGTCTCCCTCTTTCCCACTGCCGTTGAGTCAATTCTGACTCGTAGTGACCCTGTGGGACAGAGTAGAACTACCCCGTAGGGTTTCCAAGGCTGTAAATCTTTACGGAAGCAGAGTGCCACTTCTTTCTCCCACAGAGCGGCTGGTATGTTTGAACAGCTGACTTTTCGGTTAGCAGCTCTTCATTTAACCATTGCACCACCAGGGCTCCTTCCGGTCCTCCTTGTAGGCATATGGATATTATCCTATCACTGACACTATTGTATTTCAAGATAGATCTTGAAATGTTCTTTTTGACAATGAATGTGAAGCTGTTCTTCTTCAGTTTGTCATTCCCACCATAGTAGACCAACACAGATGATTGTCGAATTCAAAATAGCCAATACCAGTCCATTTCAGCCCACTAACACCTAGGATATTGATCTTAAGCATTCCATTTCAATTTTGAAAACCTCCAATTTTTCTTAATTCAGACTTCATACATTCCACGTTCTGATTACTAATGGATGTCTGCAACTGTTTCTTCTCATTTTGAGTCGTGTTGTATCAGCAGATGAAGGTCCTGAAGGCTTTACTCCATCCATGTCATTAAGGTTAAATCTTCTTTGGGGAGTCAGTTCTTCCCTAGTCTTATGTTGAGTGCATTCCAACCTGGGCGGCTCATCTCACTGCACTATACTGGGCAGTGTTCCACTGCTGTCCATAAGATTTTCACTGGCCAACTTTTTTTTTTTGAAATAGATCAACAGCTCCCTCTTCCTAGTCTTTTGTAGTCCTGAAGCTCCA